GCATGATGGGGAGCCCATTTTTGGTGGGAGAATGGCTGCATCTTGTTGATGTGTTGCACGTGCTTCTGGCCAGGCAGCAACTTTGAGATGACCTTACTGGGAAATGACTACAGCCCAATGTAAACAGCTATCTGGTATATTATGATGATGCCAAGCTAATGAAAGCCTGTTCTCTCTCTTATACATACTTACATATGTGCCTTAGGAAGTACAATTTGTTCCCAAGCGTTTTGCTGCCATGGTTCAGAGTTCCACCCGGGACATTATAAGTGTAAGTATTGTGGATGATGTCATGGCTTCCCAGAGAAGAAAAGGCATGTTTGAGCAGCTGTGTAATCAACAAAAATAGCTTCTAAGGTTGGTGTCCCAGGTCTCGGGTAAATGGCCCGTTTCTTGCTCTTTTGGCAAGTACAATTCCTGGTGGGGGCATTCGTGTCCCAGTGGAACCATTGAGGTGCTGCAGGGAATGTTTTCTGGATTAAATGAACAGAAAGCAGTTTGAGGGGACAGTCTCTAACACATATGGGTTGAGCTTTACTGAATATTTTCAGCTAATAAATCATAGTGTAAGAAGGTGGGTGGAAGCAGCTAAACTTCCTGATGTTAACCTGAAGCATTTGTTTTAATATTTTAGTAATTAGGTTATTATTTCTTGTTTTGAAACAATTTTTATCTAAAAATGATGAATTAAAATGGTCAAGTGACATGGGAATAAATGAAATGCTGTTCATTTTGTGTTAAACATTTACGTTGACCAAAATGTCTACAAAACAGCGTGCAGTCTTACTTGACAACAGGGCCTAATGAGACTGAAAATGGGACTGGAACTTGAAGCAGTGTTTGGACCATGCACCTTGTCATACTTAATTTAGGAGCCTTTGATCCCTAGAGAGTACTGGCATCTCTAGAGAATGCCTTTGATTGCTCAGTTTAGGAGTTCCTGCATACCTGAGTCTCCTGAGTTAGACAGCATGGACACCCTTGTTTGCCACATATTTTAAATGACTCACATTTTTTGAAATGAGACTGACTTTAGGACAGGGTGCACTGGCTGTTGCTTTTCCTGTCTGCTGTGTACACGACCCCTTGTACGTTGGACATTTGTGCTTCTCTGCCTGAGAGTAGATCTGCTTCCTCTGGAACACAGCTGGCTCTGACTTGCTGTGTCTGCAGGTGAGGAGGTAAGTGCTGAGCAGGAATCGTGTCCCTACGTGCTGGCTTGTGGCTACTGCTTTTGGTCTCTGATGTATCTGAGGAAAATCTCTTGATACAGGTTGGAGCCTCCTCCACAGCAGCTTCAGCTGATCACTAAGTGACCTTTCCTATACCCATAGTCTCCTTTCATATAGTCCCTTTTCCACAGGGTCCTCACAGGTGGGTCTCATGGGGCAGAGCTTTCCCTGCCGCAGGGGAATATCCAAAGCAGAGCAGGGAGGTGCATCCCAGAGCCTCGGCCCCTGCCCTGAGCCATCTGTCACGGGGCTGTCACTAGTGGCCTGCTGGAGGCAGCAGGAGGATGCTGCAGAGGTGATACAACATGTAAGGCAGCCTTGCCACCGAGACTGATTCTACAGGCTTGGGCACCTCTTGTGTAGGCAGGTCACATTAGAGGCCTGGCAGGAGCTGGGTGCATCAGGCAGGGAGAGCACATGGCGCAGGGGCTGCCTGACAACTACCAGCACTTCAACTCCTTCTCTCTTATTAAAATCTTAGAAGAAACGGGTGGGTTGAACAATCAAGAATAAGCTGTTTCCTCAAGTTTACTGAAAAAATTTGCTCTGGGAGTATTATTATTCATGGCGAATATGGAAGATGATGGTGCCAGCTCTAATTAACTGCTCTTGGTAGCACAAAGATGTTCTCCAGTGAAAGCCAGTACGTTACTCTATTCATTTGGATTAATTAATGTGAAAAGGCCAAGTATGTAATTTCATACTTGAACTTTTAGATCCATATTTGAATTGAATTAAAATCAGGTTATGCAATGATTGAATAGTTTCCTGGTTTGACTGGGGAAAGCAGTTTCAAAAAAGAAGACAACTTACTGTTGAAGAAAACCTCTGAAATTAAAATTTATCTTCTTTTCATGAGATTTCACTAGCATGTCACTCTGTTCCCCCAATTGTTATTCACGGAGTAACTTGTTCTCAGTAAAGTAACAGGGAAGGAAGGCTTTGTATTAGGCCTCAATTAATTTCTCCCCCTTTTCAGATGGTGATTGTGTGATTGCCACTGCTAGAACGGCAGTCAATCCTCATGAGTCATTCTCCCTTTTCCAAAAGTTGGTGCACGTAAAACTCAAAGAAGCAGCTATAAGCTGACTTGTTCTGTGGTACACAGCTGCCATCTGAAAATGCCTCTGTGTCAGCAGTGTTGTCAGAGCAATACCTTCTGCAGAGGTTTTGGGGGGTGCAACCTGCTCCTGAGCCTTAGGTATCTTCTCCTGCAGTGTGGCTGGGTCTGATGGAAATGAGGAGGTCTGGGAAGTGCCTGTGGGCTAGTGGGCACTCATTTAGCAATGCACATCAAGAAATTTGGCAAGCTGGATGTGAGAAATAAAAGATTTACAACTGAGTGTTATTAAACCAGCATCACCATGTTAATAGTCTCTATGGGGGTGTACTGGAAAGTACAGACCAATGTTACCCTTTAGGGACAGGCTTGGACCTGACACAGCTTTGGTTTGGGGTTTTAAGTGCTGAAAGTAGCAGCTTGAGGCAGCATTTTATGACTTGGAGGAGTCCAGTTTGGTCTCCAAATGAACTGGTCATTTTGTAGGTCAGATATTTGGGAACAGACCAGTAGATTGTTGTGGTGTTGTTATACAAGCTAAGAATAAACATTGGAGGTCACTACAAAAACTTCCCCCAAAAAAGCCCAGGATGGAATAAACCATGCACAGACACCCACACGTACAGGCTGGCTTTGCAATGAGTTGTGACTGGCTTTGCATGGGCACCTGCAGCCCCAGCTCCTAGGGAGGGAGGCGGGGGAGGTTGTGTGGATGCTGCCAGTTTGCTCCTGTCACAGGTTGTGCAGCCGATTGCTTTTGGTTTTGTAATGACTTAAGCAAGACCTCAGAGTGAGATAGGACTGTCAGACCAGCTGTGGGGAAAGGGACTGGGGCGGGGGAGCTCAGTGTGTTGGACTGGATGCTGGCTCCAAACTTCAGAAAGCACTCCCCATCCTTGTCCTTCCCCAGCACTACTGAAGGCTCCTTGCATTCTAAGGAACTTTGAGTATATATTCCAGATGCCCCTCTGGATCTGGCATGGTATGTGGGCAGCTTGCCATAGGGCACATACCACAAGGGGTTGCAGTAGAATGCCTCCGAGGCTGCCCATGGGGTAAGAGATGGTAACACAACCTCCTCCTGAAAAACTAACAGCACGCCCAGCTGTTGAGCAATGCTGGAAAAATCCCACGGCACCACACTCAGCACCTGTTTGTGCACAGGTCCCTGTGATGTGAATGTGGCAGACACGGAGCAGGCAATGAATGTGGCTGGGAACAGCAAACAGGTGATTTGTCACTCCATCGCTGGCAGGAAATGTTTAAAGGTGTTGTGTTTCCCCTTGTGGGCAGCGTGGTTGTGAAACTGTTCCCCAAGTCAGGGTCTGGGTCAGGGCAAATGGTGAATGGCAGCCGTTTTGGGGCAGACTGTTGCATTTGCCTCTGTCATGCTGCGTGGTGACTGTTGGGAATGAGCAGTGAGCCCCATCCAAAGCCCTGGCACCTTGGCTGGCTGTGTGCTGCCTCCCTCGCCTGCCAGACACAGAGACTTAAAGACTTAGGTAGGTCTTTATCAAGCACTCTGTTGTATTTTGGGGACAGGCACTTTGTTGTATTTTGGGGACAGGTGCCTGTTCAGAGGGTCACAGCTGTCAGTCTCGCCTCTGCTTGAGCCTAGGACCTGGGAAGGAAATGTGGGCCAATTAAGCACATTCTGTCTCCTACCCTATTTTAATTTCCATTCCGTTGAAGACATCCAGGTCCCCGGCACTGCCAGGAGGGGCTCCTCTCGTGGCAACAGCAGGCTAGGGAAAAAGAATTGCCTGATCAAAGTGCTTTGAGAAGCATTTTGCTGTGTTTGGAAAGGAGGCATTTAAAACTGACACTCATCCACCTCTCCAAGAAAAATGAATGCTACAGAAGTACAGACAGTTGCAATGTAGCTTGAGCCCCTCTGAAGCACAAAGCAGGTTTGCAATAAGCCTTTTGGACCAGCTCTTTCTGAGCTTTATATCAGCTTTAAAAAAACATTTCAGTTAAAATGTCATGGATAGAAAAGCTTACTCTTTCTCCTTGACCAAGTATTTTAGTGTTAGCCCATGAAATGCGTGAGAAAACAATGATGAAAGTCAAACTGAGTTGCCTTTATAACAGCAGGTACCAAATATCAAATGGCTGCTTGAAATGTTAAGTCAGGAGAGGAAGGCATGGCAATTCTCTAATGAGGTTTGCAAAGGAAATGCACTTTGCTTTCATTCAGTGCTTTTGGTGAAGTTGTTTAATTGCAATAAAAGGTAAATATTTGGTATCAGTCTCCTTGACAACATGAGTTCGTGTGGTGTAGCTGTTCCTGAAGCACTGTCTCTGCAAGAGCAGCATGTTGTGCTCACCCATATAGGGACTTGGTGGGTCTTCCCATCTTCAAGGGTCTTCCCTTCTTTCCCCAGATTTTTCATTAGTAGCGAGTGCTCCACTGTTTTTGCTGGAAGGGCAGCGCCGTGTGGGGCTGTTTGCAGGAGCTGTAAAATCCATTCATGCCTTCTTAATATTTGCAGCTCTCAGTGTGTTCAGTTCATTTGCTGTGACACCTGTGGGCAGCATAATCTTAGCCCTGTGCAGCTGTAGTGGAGTAGCCTGGAGTAGGCTTGGCTAAAGAGAGTGATTTTCCAAGCAAGGAGAAGGTTCTCAGTGTCTGCTGCCTGCTTCTGAGGGCTTGGTGACTGCCCCCGTCATGCTCCAGTGCCAGGCAGCGAGCAGGGCCTGGTGTTCCATGGTGTGTGTGGTTCTTGCTGGAATGAGCATGTTATTAGCTCATCGAATGATGCCCTCACTCGGCAGGTTTCCTGGCTGTGCTGCTGCCACTCACCCAGATGGAAGGTGCTGGATGGTGACTGATGTCGACAGCGCTGAGGGGAGACCGGAGCAGCTACTGGGACCTACATACCCACACCTCCATCCTCCCCTCATGGGGGTTTACACTCACTTGTGTCCATGTCCTGGCACTCACACGAACACACAGTAAGTGATGGAAGCTTAAACTAATATTTTAATGTCCAATGCCACGTTGTTCCCTCACAGAGAAGAGGCCCCAGGGGCAGCTGTTTGTCTCTGGAGCTGTGAGTTTTTCTGTGCAAAGTCCTCCCTGGGCACAGGGAGCGTTTAAAAGTAACACTGCTTTTCTGACAGAAACCGGTTTGAATTTGGCAAATGGCTTTGAGGAGAGAAAAGTTAAATTCTTTGCTGGATCCACGTTTATAATAAACCCTTTTGCAACTGCATTGAGGTACAGCCTGCCAGCAGCTGGACCTGCCCTCATGGTTCCCTGGGCTCCTGTGGGGAGTCATTGCAAAAACAAGACGCCAGGATATCTCATCGAGCTGAAATCCTGAATGTGGTGGTATATTTAGGGAAGTATTTAAGAGTGGTTGGGGCTTTTTATTTTATTTTATTTTGTTTTGTTTCTAAAACAAACCAAACCAGCCTTAAGGGGAGGGAAGCACTGTAAGGTCTTCACACCATGGCAGCAGGAGGTGGAAGAGGATACGGCTGGGGCTGCAACCTGTGCTCAGGGATGTGTGGCACCACAAAGCGTGGCAGTGTTTTGTCATTTGTCATCGCTTTGTCACTTAAAAAGATGTGGTAAAAGAAGTGGCTGGCATGGTTGGAGTCAAACCTCCAAGCCCTTCCTGATGGCAGTGTTTGATTTAATATGCTCTTGCTGTGCTCTGGTGTCAGTGGAGCAAGAAAGCAAAAACAAAACAAAAGACCAAAAAAAAAAAAAAACAAACAAACAACTCTCTCTCATGTCATCATGATTTACCTAAAAAGCTGTATATACCTTTTCCTGGGGTTTTCCCTCTGTGGCAGTAGAAGGCTGGATTTTCCCCCATAGATGTAGCAATGCTCTGCACAAGGTCTTAAATTCTCTCCCCTTTCTGCTGCAGGTGTGCACTGTGCCCCGCTGCTTGTCAGTTCACTGTGCCTGTGCCAAGGTGCTCCCTCAGGCTTCTGTTGTCTCCTGCCACAAGCCTTTGCTGGTGCTTGCTCACCTTGAGTCCAGGGTGCTGTTGCCAAGATCTTCCAAAGGAGCTTTTCACATCCAGCACCTGCCAAGGAGAGCTGCTGGCATTGCCACCACTCTTCTTTTCAATGCATTTTTCTTTTCTTCTTTTTGTTTTTATTCTTTCTTTCTCCTTTAAAAGCTTAGTGAGAGATGTTGAAATTTGTTCCCCTCTGAGGGTGTGAATAGGAGCTAAGTGACAATAACAAAGATAAAGGATTGGATTTTTGATTGGCAAAAAGTGGGAGAGAGATTTGGGATTTTTTCCAAAGATGTTTTGTGACAGATGTATGTGGGCATCCCAAGGCAAGTGACACAGGCTAATTTGAGGGAGCAATAACCCATAATAGCATGGACTATAAAAATTATTTTAATGATGTGATTATGTCCAGAAATGAAATCTGGGATAAGACTCAGTGATACTGCTCGATCTCTGCCCTGTTTTTCCAAAACTAGGGAATATATTTTTCTAGCCTCTGTATTTTGTGTTGCAAAGGAGAAGGGCATTAATGGTCTTGCTATTGCAAGTTCTGTCTTGCCATTATAGCATGGAGTGGGTTACAAATGCAAATGTGTCCAGCCCATTGCTTTATCTCTTCCCACTCCTGATAGCCTAAATGTGTTTTTTTCTGAGGAATCATAAGGCATAAGGTGTGATAGGCTGTGGGTTTGAATTAAGTGTGATCTGGCTCCTTTTGTATGATTTCTGCAGTGAGAGATGGGTAGGAGTGAGATGGGCCAGGAATATCCCATCCCTGTCCAATTCAGCATTGGAAGCTGGGTGAGATACCATAGGGCACCTCAAATGGGAGCAAACAGCCCCTGTCACACAGCGGGGTCCTGCCCAAGGTCCCACCAGGTCTCTGTCAGCCACAGGCAGGAGCAGCAGCAAGACTTGAGCTCAGACTGAAAGCTCAGGCTTTCTTTTATCTTCTCCCTGATCACACAAAATGGTCTAAAACCTGCAGGGTTTTTACTACCATGCCAACCTTGCTCTGTCAAAAGTCACAGTCCTTTGTTTCTGCCCCCTTCCACCTGCAACTTTTTCAAGCCACTGCACTTCCTATTAGCATGAATGAAGTCAGATGAGCCTCTGCTACCTGCAACGTCTTGTGCTTTCTTTCCTAAGCTCCTCTTTAAACTGATAAACTGTTTCAGACAGTGTCCTTCGCTGTCTCAGTAATGATGGCTGGCCCAGGTTGTATGCTGGTCTTTGGGAGGTGGCTTTACTTGTAGTCACAAAGTTAATACTTAACCCAGGAATAGTCAGGATTGCGTTGGTGTACTCTGAAGTGTAATCTAAACTGGATTTCCTGGGTTTGTAACGCTTAGTTTTGGATTAACAATTGCCTGGCAGTGTTTATAACTCTAAACTGCTGATACTTGCTTTCAAATATAATCCCAGTTTAATGCCCTTTTTGTCTTGGAATAGAGAGAAGGATTAATAGGAAACTAGCATACAGCAGACATGAGGTTTTACATCGTTTGGTGTCTGCAAATGGCACTGATTCAGCTTTTCTTCCTGGGAAACATTTCTGATTACTCATAGATTTTTGGTTGTGTCAGTATCCCGCAGCAACTTTTTTATCACATTAGAAAAATGTGGTAAATGCCATTCTTATGGAGTGACAGTATATAAAATCAGAAAAAGAAGAATAAATGAGATAAAATGAAAGAGGTTGTAGGTGCCCTTTGCCTTTCAAGGTAGCTGGAGACACTGATTCATTAGAGTTTGTTGCTATGGTAGATGTTTCTCAGTAGCAAGAAACCTGATGGAGGGAGAAGCCTCAGCTTTGCTAAAGGATGCAGTTTCTCCAAAAACCTGAAGACAGAGGCATGTGGAAGGAAAGGAAGGATGAAGACAGGGATGAGTAAGGCAAGCTGGAGCACTTGATTGAATTGCAGCTTTGCACTGGCCCACTGCATCACAGATGTGATAATGCTCATGGTAAATAATTTGTTCCATTCACTGTATGTGAACATCTTTCACAAAACATAAAAAGTGAACTTTTTAACTTTTTTTTAAATTCCTAATGTAGTGAAATGTATGTAGAAGTTTCTAGGTGCCTGGTGCCTGTGCTAATTCTTTCTATTTGGGAGATGAATGCTTTGGTTGGGATTTGGTTGGCCCAAAGGGTGTAGTTCCTCAGCAAAGCAGCTTCACCAACTTCCATACCCAGCTTTCAAGGCTGGTTTAAACCTTTTCACTTCCCCTTTTCAAATGCAAAAAGAAGTGCAAGTAGAAAAAGTGCTCCATAATAGCTCTCTAGCCCCTATTGTCATTCTTTCAGAACAAAGTAATGATTTTAAGCTTAGCACTGTGTGTTAGGAATGAGTCCTCAGTTCTCAGGGGTGAATCATTTCTGAACAAATCTTTGGGTTTTGCTTTCTTTTTTCTTAATATGAATTTCAGGTTTTCAGATTTTTCCCTTTATTTTTTAGCATTTTATATCTTTAATATTCTTTTGGTGCAAAGAGGAGTCTCTGCAGTCTCACTGGATACCCCATGTCAAGATTTGGGTATAAAGCCCTGCAAATGAAAAAGCTGTTGCAATTACCCACCTGAGCAAAGAAGGGATCAGATCACACCAGATTTGACCTGAACAGTGAATGCTCAGAGGCCCAGAAGCAATAAGATCCAGCAGGGAACTTCTGAGTAGAAAATGTTACCTTTGCAGAATTATAATTTATCCCAGGAATCTAGAACGAAAGTCATCTCTGTGCCCCGATAATTAGTGCTCTCTTAGAGCTGGTAGAGGCACTGGGGGCCATGTGTAGGCAGAGGCAGGGAGCTCCAACAGTGGTTGTCTGTGGTGGTCAGGTATGAGCTTTTTACACACCTCAGCCTGCTTGTTTCCAGAAAAATCAATGGCCAGAATCGTTGGAGAAATGGGAGAGGCTTGGAAGAAATAAAAAGGAATATTTCTTTTTACCCATAAATAGTAACAGGAAACATTATGGAAGGAAATAAAAAAAGTTAGGAGCAGTCTCCTGGAAATGGGCTTAGTTCTATTTTTTTAATGAAATGTTTTCAGAACTGAATATTTCAAGCAAATGGCTTAGGTAAGAAGTTCAGGACCCTGCACTTTCCATGAAAACCTCACCACACATCATCCCAAGTAACTAACATGCAGTATGTAAATCAAGGCTTTGGCATGCCTCTTCTTTCCGTGTTTTGCGATGGTTCTTCCAAGGACTCCTTTAAAACAAAGTAATAACACACGCCATCCAGACAGCAGTTCAGGTTTGCCCAGCAAAGGGTAATCTGAACGACATCTCGCAGCACTTTTTGAAAGCTGATGTGGATGATGTTTCTCTTCACCAAGAAGTACATGAAGTATGCCACGTGGTAAGGGGTGAAGCAGACCAAAAACGCCACGAGGTTTGTCACCACGATCCTCTCTGCTCTAGTGATGTGCGTCTGGGGGTTATCTGGATCTCTGTGCCTTCTCAGGCACCTGACAGTTTGGGCAGTGCAGAACGTCATGGCTGCCATGCTGCCAAAGAAGATGGTCTCCAGGGTGCTGAACAGGCCTATGTCCGCCCATGTCCTTGGGGAGAAGTTATGGAAGCAGGATGAGATGTTTTGGCCCTTTTCATGCAATTGGGATGTAGAGACTGTCCCCACCGAGGTGCCCAGGCAGACAACAGCACAGACCATGGCAGCTTTCCTGATGGATCTCAGGGAGGGGGCTGTGAAGGGGTGCTGGATAGCGATGTACCGATCCACGCAGATGCAGAGGGAGATGAGAATGCTGCCATACATGTTTACAAAGTAAAGACTCTCCAAGGCGGAGCAAAACACAGACCCCCAGTTCCACTTGTCCTGACGGCGGTAGGAAATGATTTTAAAAGGAAGAGTAAACAACAGCAAAGTATCCAGGAATATAAGGGCTATCATGTAGACTGTAGATTCTGACAGCTTTTTAACCTTAAAAAAGAGTAACAACAGAGCCAT